TTCAATGGTACTTAAAAATGTCAATAATTATAAAAGGGAAATTTGTTTAAAAATAATATATAGCAAGCAACCAGGGTTTGCAAATACCTTGTCCAAAACAGTATGGCTTCTCTGAGATATATTCCTCAATCTCAAATACACACACATACCTCTCTCTAAAAGTTTTAGTATGAACCAGTTGTTCAAAAATAAAAGCGTATTTTCTCAGAAACTATATTGAAAATAGTCATCATCATGAAAAAAGAAGCATTTGATAGCTGTATTTTCAGTATAAATGTTATAAGTAAGCACACAAAAATCAATTGCATGTCTATGTACTAACTAACAGTGATCATGCAAAAACAAAATTTAAACCCAATATTATATCAGCTCCAAAGAAAATGAGATACTTAGATATGCAGTTAATAAAATCCTGTGTGGAAAATTATAAAATGCTGATGAAAGAAATCAAAGATGACCTAAATAAGTAAATCTTCTATGTTCATGTATTGGAAGGTTCAACATAATTAAAATGTCACTTCTCTCAAATTGATTTATAGTTTTAACACAATTCTTATCAAAATTCTGGCAAGATTTATTTTGAAATATTAGACAAAATTATTCTCAAATTTATATGGAAAAACAAAGAAAATTAAAGATTTAATTTTTTAAAATAGTTAAATAAAAAGTCCTACAACTAAAGAAGCCACATTAAAACTGGTAGGAGAGGTGGAGATGCCAACAGACTGAGCCAAAACACGAATGTAGAAGATAAAAATTGGAAGGGATATCTCAGCTGTGGAAATATACCTGAGGAATGAGGGGTTCTAGCCCCCAAACAGACTTCCCAGCCCAAGGTTCCAATGCCAGGAAAGTAAGTCCCATAACTTTTGGCAATAAAAACCAGCAGGGATTGTGGCTGTATAAAATGGAAGGCTGTGAAGTACCAGGCAATTCCTCTTAAAGGGCCCACACATGGACTTACTTGGATTCACTCCCTCTGTGTTCCAGTGCTAGGCATCAGCAACACACGAGATGGAACTGAGTTGTTTGGCATCAGGGGAAGAGCTGAAGGGGATGCTTTCTCCCAGACAGAGATGTTGGGAGAGGCCATTATTTCTTCTCTGGGCCCTGCCCTCACTAAGTTGGCAGGTTGGCACCATATTTGAGACTCCATCCACCTGGCTGTCACTGTTCACTCCCTGTGTTTGTCTGAGACCCTGCCCTATCCACCTTATAGGCTCACCCATGCTGTTTCCAGTGGCTTTTTTATGCAAATGGCCTGACTTGGCTCATACTTTGGACTTTTCTAAAATCTCTCAATCAATCAGCATCTGGCTTCAGCATGCCACATACCTCTTGCTAAGTGGCACCTGGCACTAGTGACAGCCAGCCTTGATTCCTGGCTTGGTCTCTCCTGGGCACCTCAAAGCCCAGCACAAGTAGCAGCTATCTGCAGATCACTTTGCAGCTCATTCTGGGTGACTCTACATCAGGATACAGGTGGTGACTGCCTTGTCCTGTACCTCCCTGGAGGCCCCAGAGCCAGTGCACCCAGTATATAGTTTCTCACTATGTCAAGCACCACCCAACCTCCTCCAAGGGACAAACTCAAGGGGCAGACTCAGTAGACACCAGAGCCCCACTGAAGTAAGTCTTGTTCCATACAGTAGGTCCCTGCACAACTGATCCTCCACAGTGGTGCAGCCAATCCTTATAGCCAGTTATCTTGGGGGTAAATCCCTCCCAATGAGGAGCCAGCAGCAATCAAGTCTCAACTACAACATGATGGTGTACACAGCCCACACAGAGTCTCAACTACAACATGATGGTGTACACAGCCCACACAGCCCACACCTGAAGTGGCCAGCTTGGGTGATCAGGAAGGCTGGGCCATTGGACTATACAAGACCTGCTACATAAGGCCACTCTACAAAATCTGGGAGACAAGAGCATCTCTACTTAATACATAGTAACAGATACAGGGAGGCAGCCAAAATGAGGGGACAAAGAAACATGTCCCAGCTGAAAGAATAGAGCAAAACTGCAGAAAAATAACTAAACAAACTAGATGCAGAGTTTAAAATACTGGTTAAAAAAGATGTTCAATGAAGAATAATTGAATATAGAGAGAACTTCAACAGTATATGGATGAAAGGGGCCACATGCTAACCTGATAAGCTCAGGGAAGGCCTGCATGGTGGTCTTGCTATCTCAGAGACCTAAAGTAACCACAAAGGATGGTCTGAAATTAAACTTTAACTAAAAGCTGTTATGGTGGGTAGTTACATCCTAGGCTGATATTTTCACTGACAAGGTCAACCTTTACCTTAACTGAGCCTATCTGTCTTTTTGCATTTATAATAACATACCCTTGAAATGTCTGGGTAGCTTGTAACTTCCCTTTTTCTGGACGCTTTGGGGCACAACTTAATGTGCTGGGCACCAGGACAGATACCACAAATTCCTTCACTATTATCATGTTAATTGTTCCTGCACCCACCTAAATATGTGTCTATCATTTTACTTCTTATCCAATCCCAGTAGTTTCCCCGCTTTGCTTTCTCCTTCCTCTCTAGTCTAGCACCAATGGATTTCATGTAACCCACCTGTGTCTCATCCTTTGATTGCAATATATATATATGTATATATATATATATATAGAGAGAGAGAGAGAGAGAGAGAGAGAGAGAGAGAGAGAGGAAATATGCTAATTAGGCCTGGACGCAGTAACAGGTCACAACTGAACAGGAGGAGGTTGCACACAGCATTGGGGGCAGGGCAGAACTGGGGACTGGCTCCCTTAGTAGTCCTGCAGGGTCAATCTCAAGAGGACAGGCCAGGCACCAATGGACCAGCGCTGCCGGCACTTGAATGTGAGCAGACAGAAAGAAAAAAACCTTCAAGGCCTGTCCAAGGCAGGTTTGTGTTTAAAACCAAATGAGGGTGGTCCAGAGCTACACGGCACTGACAACCATGGCAGTCTCAGAGTTGGTGGCACGGCTGTGGCTCGGAGTGTGGGGAGTGAGGGCCATACAAGCAGGAGGCTTTGGCTGCAGTCAGCTAATTTCAGCTCTGAGGCGGCGCGATCAGGGAAGCCGGTGGGACCTTCGCAAAAAAAGAGAAGGCTGAAGAGGAATGATACTTCTGAGAACAGACTAAAGAACAGCTGGTAGCCTTGAAGAAACAACATGAAGAAGAGATCACTCATCATAAAAAGGAGATTGAGCATCTGCAGAAAGAAACTGAGCGGCACAGCAGAACATCAAGAAACTGAAAGATCATGATACTGTGGCGGTGTCAGGGTGAGGGACAGCCATTATTTGCTGGTGCGGCCTGAGCTGTCAACAACAAAAAGTGCACAGGAGCTCAGCGGGAGCACGGACGGGCACACGGACACTGGGCCTGCCTCGCTGCCGCCCGGCCTCGCAGGCCAGGCCCTGCTGCGCCCCACTGCCCAGGGAGGATGTCTTACAAACCGAACTTGACCGCGCACATGCCCGCCGCCGCCTCCCTCAACGCTGCTGGGAGCGTCAGCCCGCCTTCCACCAACATGGCGACGTCCTCCCAGTACCGCCAGCTGCTGAGTGACTACAGACCACCATCTCTAGGCTACACGCAGGGAACAGGGAACAGCCAGGTGCCCCAGAGCAAATATGCTGAGCTGCTGGCCATCATTAAAGATCTGGGGAAGGAGATCCGACCCACGTACATGGGCAGCAAGAGTGCGATGGAGAGACTGAAACGAGGCATCATCCATGCGAGAGGGCTGGTTGGGGAGTGTTTGGTGGAGACAGAGCGGACCGCCAGGTCCTAGCCTCCGAGTCAGCGGGAAAGGCTTTCCATCTTCTTCCAAGAAGTGACAGCTCATTGCCCTCCTCCCGCCCCCCAACCCTTTCAGATGAAACTTGGTTTCAAAATGGTAACAGCTTGTTTTCTCCTTCCCGTGCCCCTCCCGTGGTGGTTCGTCAGGCTCCGAACCTCCCATCGCTGAGATGGAGAAGAGATTTTTGCAGTTATTAGGTTTACATATTATATAGGAACTACCCAGGGCATTTAGTGTTGTTGTTTTTTAAAGCATTGATTTACATGATGCACGTCAGTTACCTATCACAGCAAACCATAGTTGGCCTCCAAGATAACGGTGTTTCTCTTCTGGATACATTTCTGTTACTCACATGTTCTTTGTTTCTCTTCTGAGCTGATGCAACTCTGAGGGTTTGTTTCAGTCAGTCCTGAGGCAGCATTTTAGTAGCCAGTGCCCGTTCACCACACAGTATAAATTCTGCTCAATGTAACTTTTTTTTTTTTTGCTTAAGCATTTGCATGACTATTAGTACTTTGAAGTCAATCTTTAAAATGCACTAGTTATAAATACAGAAGAAAGAGCAACTTATCAAACCTCCCTGACAAGGACCCCTGAAATTTCCCCTAAGGATGTATGTAGATTTCAGTTCCGCCTTTCCCATCAGTGGATCCAAACATCTGGAAGAAAGTGACTAATACTGTTTGCATCTTTGTATGTATTTAGTACTTGATGATGTAATAAGGCTTATTTTCATTAACAAAACAAAAAAAAAGAAAGTGAAAGATCATGCTGATGATTAAGTGCACACAGTTCCCAATAGAATGGCGACATACTGTCCACTTCTTTTTTTTTCTTTATTGATTAAGGTATTACAAATGTGTCCTTATCCTCCCATTGTCCCCCCACCCCACTCATGCCCTCACCCCCCGTGTCTGTATCCATTGGTTATGCTTATATGCGTGCATACAAGTCCTTTGGTTGATCTGTCCCCCTTAGCCACACCCTCCCCTGCCTTCCCTCTGAGGTTTGAGTATCTGATTGATGCTTCTCTGTCTCTAGATCTATTTTTGTTCATCAGTTTATGTTGTTCATAATAATCCACAAATGAGTGAGATCATGTGATATTTATCTTTCTCTGACCACTTCTATGAAGACATAGTTCTGGTAACTAATATCTATCTATGCTGCCAACAGATTATAATAAATTGTGATCAGTGGGGGGAAAAAAAACATGTGGGATGACGTCGGAATTACCCAAGCGTGCCCCCAACCCCTTCACCTGCCCAGACATCTAGGGTCTCTTTACAACTGGGCTGAGCACAGTGGCACGCAGTGGCCTGGACACCAGGCCTGACCACCTCTCTGGTTTGGTCCAAACATCTGAAGTTTGCATTAGTTGCCAAGTTAAGAAATTGGAGCATTCACATAAAATCAGGATTCCCCACTTCTCTTTCCAAGGTGGCCGATTGGGCTACCAACCAAGGGTGGTCGGTGTCACTTCAACCCTAAGAGGAACCCCCAGCTTGGGGGTGTGGTGAGGAGGAAGCTATCTGTGCAGACAGTTCAGTTGTGTAAACTCCCACTGACTGTGGCACAGCCCAACAGTGTGGCCATTCAACTGCAAGGCAGCACAGCCATGAAACAGTCCTGCTGTTAAACGAGGCCCCTCTCCAGCTTTCAGGGGGCTCAACCTGCTCCAACCCATTGCATCCCACTCTGCCCTGAGCTGCCCAGTGCACCCCACTCTGCCCAGTGAGACAGCTTCAGTGTTTCAGCTCCAGCAGACAGAACACGTCCCAGCAGAAAGGGAAAGTGTAGCCATGGCTGGTGTTGCTCAGTGAATAAAGCCTCCGCCTGAGGACTGAAGGGCCCAGAGTTCAATTCCCAGTCAGGACACATGACTGGGTTGAGAGCTTCATCCCCAGTGTGGGGCGTGCAGGAGGCAGCCAATCAATGATTCTCTCTCATCACTGATGTTTCTATCTCCCTCCCTCTCTAAAATCAATCTATACTAATAAAAGGGTAATATGCTAATTAGACTGAACAACTTCTGGAAAACTTTCCGAACATCCTTTCGGACAAAGCCATGGTGGCAGGGCTGAGGCAGAGGCAGTTAGGGGCAATCAGGCTGGTAGGGGAGAGCAGTTAGGGAGATCAGGCTGGCAGGCAGGTGAGCGGTTAGGAGCCAGCAGTCCCAGATTGCAAGAGGGATGTCCAATTGGAGAGGGTACAGGCTGGGCTGAGGGAACCGCCCCACCACCATGCACAAATTTCATGCACTGGGCCACTAGTGTATAAATATAGATATAACCCACCATTCTCCAGAGCATTATTTCAATTCGTTGAGATTCTGCTTCCTGGCATATGTTGACAGTTTGGCTCAAATAAACTCACAAAAAATTATTTATAGGTTTCAATGGTTTTTTATATTAACAAGTATAAAAAAGAACATAGAAACTATAAAAAAGAACATGGAAGCCAGAAAAAAGAACCATTCAGAAATAAAGGACACACTAACTAAAATGAAGAATAATTTACAGGGAATCAACAATAGAGTAGAGGAAGCTGAGAATCAAATCAGTAATTTGGAATATAAGAAAGCAAAAAACACCCAATCAGAACAGCAAAAAAAAAAAAAAAAAATCCCCAAAAAATGAGGATAATATTAGGAGCCTCTGGGACAACTTTAAGTGTACCAACATTTGCATCATGGGGGTGCCAGAAGGAGAAGAGAGAGATCAAGGAGTTAAAAACCTATATGAAAAAAAAATAATTATGGAAAACTTTCCTAACCTGATGAAGAAAATGGATACACAAGTCCAGGAAGTGCAGAGGGCCCCAAACAAGATGAACCCAAAGAGGCCCACACAAAGATATATCATAATTAAAAGTCCAAAGGTTAAAAACAAAGACAAAATCTTAAAAGCAGCATGAGAAAAGCAGTTATTTATCTACAAGGGAGCTCCCCAAAGATTATCAGCTCATTTCTTAACAGAAACTTTGCAGGCCTCAAGAGATTGGCAAGAAATAATCAAAGTGATAAAAAGCAAGGTCCTACAACCAAGATTACTTCCACTCAGCAAAGCTATCATTTAGAACTGAAGGACAGATGAAGAGCTTCCCAGAAATGCTAAAGAATCTTTTTTTAGAAGAAGAAGAAGAAGAAGAAGAAGAAGAAGAAGAAGAAGAAGGAGAAATATATATATATAATAAAATGGCAATTAATACATATCTATCAACAATTACTTTAAATGCAAATTAATTAAATGCTCCAAACAAAAGGCATATGGAGGCTGAAAGGATAACAAAACAAGACCTCTACACATGCTTCCTACAAGAGACTCACATCAGATAGAAAGACATACACAGACTGAAAGTAAAGGGATACAAATATTTAATGAAAATTGAAAACAAAAGATGGGATAGTAATCTTATGCCAGACAAAATAAACTTCAAAACAAGAGGCAAAAAAGGACCCAGCAATTCCACTTTGGGTATTTACCTGAAGAAACCTAAAATAGTAAATAAAAAAAACACATATACATCCATATGTCCATTGCAGCATTATTTACAATAGCTAAGATATGGCAACAACCTAAATGTCCATCAATAGTTGAACAGATAAAGAAGAAGTGGTGCATATATACAATGGACTATGTATGACTCAGCCATAAAAAAAAAAATCTTGCCATCTGAGAAAAGAGGGTATTATGTTAAGTGAAATAAGTCAGACAGAAAATGATAAATACCATATTATTTCACTTATGTGTGGAATCTGAAAAACAAAATAAAGAAACAAGCAGAACAGAAACAGACTCATAAATGCAAAGAATATTTTTGATGGTTCCCAAACAAAAGTGGGCTGGGGGCATATGTGAAAAAGGTGGAAGGATTAAGAAGTAGAAATTGGTAGTTACAAAATAGTCATGGGGATGTAAAGTAGAGCATATTGTAATGACTATGTATGCTGTGAGATGGGTACTAGATTTATTGGCGTGATCACTTAATAAGTTATAGAAATGTCTAATCACTGGTTTGTACACCTGAAGCTAATATAATATTGTATGTTAACTGTAAATGAAAACTAAAATATTGCCCAGCCGGTGTGGCTCATTGTTTGAGCACCGATCCATGAACCAGGAAGCCACAGTTCCATGCCAATCCTTGGTGGGGGCATTCAGAAGGCAGCCAATCAATGATTTTGAAATGGAATTTTTTGACTGGAACCCAGATTCTTTGTCCGCCAGAATTCAAGAATGAATCCACTGACAGAAAGTGGTATAGCAAAGGTGGAGATTTGTTGAAGAATAAGTACATAAGACAGGGGAGCTGGAAGTAGCCAAAAAGGTCTATATTTACAAAATAGACCTGTCTTAATAAGCAGCAACTGTTGCTGCTCCCAAGTAGGGAGGGGGAAAGGGTCCCCATGAGTTCCTTTTCCCTATGGCTTATAAAGGCTGCAGATCCTGGTGCCTTGATATCCCCTCTGATTGGTCATTATTCCCTTAGACTGGTTACTATAGTAACTCCTGAGCTCAAAGTTCGAACCTCACATGAGAAATATAAGATTCCCCCCCCTCCTTCCTCATTGTTCTTTTCTTTCTGGCTTTCTTCCTTCTTCTTTATTTTGTAAATATAGACCTTTTTGGCTACTTCCAGCTCCCCTGTCTTATGTAAACGCAACTGTTGCTGCTCCCTGCACCCGGCTTCCTTGTGTTATGGAGATATACCTTCTCCCAATCTGTAGCCCTGTGTTTTTTCCATGACCCCCAATTCTAAAAATTCCCTAAGCCTGCCTATAATTCCCCTAAAATTTCTGTTTCAATTCTCTCTCATCATTGATATTTCTATATCTCTCTCTGAAATCAATAAAAACATATTTATAAAAAACTAAAAAAATAATCTATCCTATCTAATAATAGACAAACATGGTAATTAACCGTACCTCCGACACACTTCCCATTGGCTAATCAGGGTGATATGCAAATTAACTGCCAACCAAGATGGCG